TTCCTTTTTCAAAGAAACTTTTTGTTTTATAGATACAACCATTTATCTCATCTCTCTGAAGACATTAACTGTTGATTACCCCTATTTCCCACATGTTTGTCTTTTTCATACTGAAAACGCTTCTCTAATGTCAGGTAGTCATCATCTGTGCATTCATCTAAAATAGTATGACTAAGGACAGTATGACTATGAGGACATGACAGCATTGCTGTGGATGGTGTATCTGTGTACTAAGAACTGGGCTTCTTTGTAAAATCATTTGGAGGCAGCCAGTATGCTATTATGAGAACTAATAATAATAAGTGGGGTGTTCTTTTAAAGGTACTATTCATTCTATTAAGAGCAGACTCCTTCAATCTCCTAATCTCCTGTTTTGATGATATTCCCTAGCAATTAGAGTGAGGGTGTGTGTGCGTATGTATGTGTGTGTGTGTGTGTCCACGAATGCATGTGTGCGCACACATACACACATGCATTAGTAAAGCACTCACTAATTTCTAATTTCTAATTTTTGCCTCTTTTTCATTTTCAGCCTTACTCTCTATACTCAGTCCTTCTAGGAAAGTTCATTCAGTCCGAAAGACACTTAGCCATATATTCACCACGATTAATCCTGAATTGACACACATGATTAAGAATTTTTGTACTTTTTTATGAGTCAAAAATTCAAAATACTCTCATGCCTTATTCTCTTAACAAAAACATTTTAAAAAATTAATCCAAATTCTGTAAACAATTTGAATAGTTCATTATCCTCTAATTGCTTATTATAATGTCAAAATCAAAGTATACAGTAATTCAGCCATCTCTTTGAGAAAGCAAAAGGAAGGCTAAATAACATACGCTGAACAGTATAGCAACTAGGTCTAATTTTACCGCAGATTTTCTATCTTTTGCTAAAAGCATCAACAGGGATTGCTGAATTTTTTCTTGTGTTTCATCCCTGTCCACCAGTTCTGAGTATCCAACTAGTCTCTCCAAGATGAAAGATTATGATCATATGGTGAGTATCTACTAGATCTACTTTCCCATTCCTCCGTATTCTCTCAGTACTTTCCATGCCTGAGTATTCTTTGTATTCTAAAAAGTATATTTTATTGTCCTAGGAGGATTATTTTTGTCTTTCCTTGCTATAATTGTATGTTTTGGGCTCTCAATATTCTGTCTTACCTACTTACAGACATTTCTGTGTTATGTATTTGCTTATTCCTCTTACATCTTTAATTTTGTTTCTATCTCTATTGGCTGACAAACCTTCCACACCTTATAAAACAGCATCTTGAAATCTTGCTAACTTCTTAAAAGATTTTTTAAAAATCTTACACCAAAGCTTTCTTCTTTCCTACACTACTTACCCACACTCACTACTCACTGATACTTCAACCCCTTGCTTTCTGATTTCATCATAGAGTCCAGTTCAGTGTGAAAGGTAACTAATAATTGATTCATAGATACAATTGATTGATTCCATTTTCATTACCTTCTGTCTCAAAATGTTTAATTTGGTGGTCATTTAATCCTGTCTGTGTATGTACGTGTGTTTGTTTACCATGAATCCGGACATTTATCTTTGCACCAATTTTGGTTGCAATTCTCATGAAGTATTGGATCAACTCATTGAAATAACAATGGTACAAATGAACTTATTTCCTTTCAAATTGTGGTAAATACAGTGAAATAAATGGATATATTATAAGGAGAATAATAGGCAAGATCTACTTTAGATTATATATAGTACATATCTGAAGAAGAAATAGGCTCCAGGCAAAAGGAAGAGCACAATATAGTGCATGAGGTAGGAAAGAGTTTAAGATATTCAAGAAAGAAACTGAAGATCAAAGTAGCTGAAACTTTGTCTGACAGAAAAATATAGTGAGCAATCAGAGTGAAGTGACCAGGACAGGTGAAATCACACAGACCAGTGAGGATTCTAGATTTTCTTTGAACCATGTAGAGATCCACAGAAGAAATTTAAGCTGAAGATTAATATTCAATCTGCATTTACACAGGAGCACTCTGACTGCTGGATGCTTAAGAGGGAACAAAAATGGAAGAATTCTTTATTGTCATGACTTGTACTGCAGGGTCTGTTATCACATAGAGTCTAGGTTAAACATTGCAGGACAATCTTGTTTAGAATGATGAAACTGCCTATGAAGAGAAACAGGTGAGTTTCTAATATATTTCAGAAATAAAATCTATAGACCTTCATGATATATTTGGAGATGAGGAGAAAGCAAAGTGTTTTATATGTGCAAATTTGAAGGAAACAACTAGAGAATAATTAGAGGGAAAGATCAAAAGTCTGTTTTGTATGTTTCCTTTCTTGAAGCCTTCCTACAGGATGTTTAAGAACACCACCTACTTCCTGGCCTTTCTCTCAATAGCTGTGTTTCTTTTTTCTTGCACCAAATGCAATTACATTTGAAAAGTATTGCATAGATATTCCCTTCTTTTCTTTTCAAATCCTCTTTCAATTTCATCTGACCCTGAACTCTCACTCTAAGTAGGTGATTCATTAATCATTCTCTCTTGATTCAACCAAACTCCTGAGCAGAGATTCATATTTTCAACTGTTTTATGAGCAATTCTATTTAGATGACCTATTTGAACCTCTAATTCAACCCAAAATTAAATTCATGTTGTCTATGTCTACACAAGGATTTCATTTATACTGTTTTCATTTTGTATTTCTGTTCATCCAGGCTCATATTAACTATTAACTATTACTATTGGCCTTCTTCTTGTACTTTGCTTCAATTGCTGTGGCTTTATCAGTGAACTCTATTGCATCCAATTTGTCTATGTCCCTTACATTGCTCTGAAGTGGAATTTCAAATTGTAACCCAATCTCCAATTATACTCTACCATTATTCTCGTAACTTCCTATCTTCCTACCTCCAATGTCTACCAACCAGCACATGATCTTGAGCATATTCCTCCTAAATTTCAATGCTGATAATTTTACTCCTGTCTTAAATTTCAGTGATTCTATTGTCTTTCGAGTAATTTTCAAATTCCTTCAAAGTATATTATATGCCTCTTCTGATCTGACCCTGATCTAACTTCTCCCTTGATTGCCACATGACTTGAGCTTCTCAACCTTCAGGAAATTTGTCTGACACTGTCACAGCACTCTGCCTTTGCTATGATACTGATGCTGTGTTCATTTTTTTTACACCAACCCCTTCTTTCTTTACAGCAAAAAGCAACATCCCTCACTTCTCCAACTGGAAATACATTCCTCTTTTTGTATTCCCTAATGGACTATGAGTCTGCAGTGCTTGAGAAGAGACACTCATCTGATATCTTCCACTGTGGCTGGCATACTGCCTTGCATATAACAGGAACAGAGTGAACGTTAAACTCGATTGACACCTTAGTACTTCTTAGGGTTCAGATAGCAAATATCTCCTAGAAGGCTCTTGTATTGGAAGGTGATTAGATGATGGGGACACCAAGTTCATCCATGAAGTAATTCACTGATGAGCTCATAGTTCAATGTGCTATGAGGGATGAGGTCCATCTGGAGGAAGTTAACTGTCAGGTACCTGGGAGCATGAGCTGGAAGATGTCTTTGTATCAGTCCCTTTCCACCCTCTGCAGCTCTTTCCTATCCTCTGTTTTCTGACAACAGTGTGGTGAGAAGCTGTGCTCTTATCTACCATGGTGAGAAAGCTGTGCTTCTATCTACCACGCCTTTCCTCATTGTTCTGTCCTCCTACTGGCCTCAGAACAACGTATGCTGCCAACCACAAATGAACTTTATCTTAAGGGCAGACAACATGTGAAATTCCTAGTTTTATATGAGCAGTAGGGAAATCCAAAATCTCTACTTCACCGTGAATGGGCCTTATTCAATATAATTTAAAATAGTAATAAATTTTAAAAAGTTCCTCAAAGGTTAAAACAAAAACACTACCCATTTCTTATGGATACAGTAAAGAGCAACCTTTATGGATACATTCAAATGCTGAGATACAAAGAAAACTTTACCTAACAGTTTCTTTATCAACAAAAATAGCCATGAAGCTATTTAAGCATTAGATTGGTTTTTCAGAATTGAAATTTTGCCTTATCTGAAGCTTTATGCAAGTTAGCAAAATGTAAATGTCTCTAAACTTCAAGTAAATTTCATCAAAACCAAAGTTTGTCTCTGCTCCAACAACAGAATTCTAGTAATAGTAATATGAATGATGGATTCAGAAAGGAAATGGTAGTAGCACTAAATACAAACTCTGGTGCAAAATTCCTGCTCTTTTGCAACCAAAATTGTCCTTATTTTCATAAAAGAGTTGAACTCATATCTGAATCATTGCTCGTGTTTGTTTTCTTAACCTCAGTCATTCACTTCTTTTAACGATTTTTTTTTTCCTAAACAAAGTTTCTAAACCATAATTCTCTTATGGGCCCCTTAATTTTGCTATAAAAAATAGAAAAATGATAAAAAAAAATCTAGAGACTGACAATATCAATTACTTCAAAATCCTTTTAAAATGATAATCACGACTATCTAAACATAGCGTTTTATGTTAATTTCCCCTGAATCATTTTTATTCTCACATATCTTTTAAAAGTATTACTTAGAACAATGACTTTTATCTGTGAACAAAAGCTTGAAACTATTGTTTCATCTTCAAAAATAACAGCTGTTGAGTGCTACAGGCAGCTCCTATAATAACATATAACATTACCTTATTTAAATCTCACAACGACTCTTACAAAGTATTCAGCATTACTCTGCCATAGAGATGTGAAAGGTGATAATGAGGTTGAATGACTGGGCTGAGGTCAGATAACCAGCGAGGAGCGCAACACAAAATAGACTCAGCACTCGCTGGGGCCCTAGGACACAGTGAGCATCTGGACACCCCGAGGGCCACCCCCAAAAGGTGAGGAAATAACCCTGAGTGTCAACGTGTGCCAAGAGTTATGGTCTAGGACGCTGATCTCCAGCTCTTCTTTTAATCTTGCTTTTTCTTTTGCATCCTTCCCTGTAGTTGCTGGAAATCTTGCTGCGGCGCTGTCAGTGATGATAGCCGGCTGCTTTGAAATACACCGGAAGCAGTTTCCTCCAATGGAGCAGCCTTGTTCAGGCAAAGTCCTCGCCGTTTCCTCCATGCCTGGTCTCCACCTGGTGCTTCAGTACATTTTACTCGGTGTGGCTGAAACCCTGGTAAACCCAGCCTGTGAGTGACTCAGCTTGTACACTGTGGTCATCACCTCAAACAGAAAGAAAGTGGCGGGCTGCTGGGCCACCCTCTGGAAATTCCCCACAGAGCTTCAGAGAGCCCCAAGCATCACTCTCATTTTTTTCAAATGTTACAATTCTCTTCTTTCCCCTAACACATAGATAGTTATTAATTCCTCCTGGTTGTATATGGAATGAAAGATTCACTGACCTGATTAGAGGCAACAAGGTTTTGGTTAGATACAGGACAGAAAGAAAAGCACTGCTAAAACCCTGAAGACGACTCCAACACACCTAGATACAAACTCATCTTTTCCTTTCCTTCTTTCCTTCTCATTCAGGGATAAAATACATATATGAAATATATATGCATATGTTTGCTCCAAAAATAGACATTTAATATACTTTGAAAGTGTATGAGCATGCAAATGAAATGAAAATTTGACCCAATTTTCCTAAATAACTCAGTTTCTAAAACAAATGACACTAGATTAAATAAGATCACTAGCCTTTCATAAAATAAGCTTAAAAATAAGATTATTAAATAGCAAACATTTCTGGGTTATCTATATTGCTTGTATTAGCTAGGCTAGCCACTTTAAAATTTATCAGTGTTTTAATAATTTCATGTAATACAGTGATAATATATATATAATATGTTGTGTTTCTACCATCCATATAATTTTGTACAGTGGGAGCTCTACTCATAACTCAAGCCCATATTATTTTTTGTTAATATTTTTGAAACTGCTATCACACAACCTCTAATATCTGTCCCATTCTATCAATCAGCACATAACCTTTAGAGTAATGCTACTAAATGACAAATCTAGTCATTTTAATTCTGTCAGAAATCTTCAATAATTCTATTATCTTCAGTTGTTTCCAATTTTCTTAAATAGACATATACATACATAAATACCAAAGTAATTCAATAAAAATGAAAGTAAATACATGTGTAAAATTATAATCATATATATGGGGCATCCGACTTCCTTTTCATTCCACATATTTTGCATAAGTTATTTTGTGAGCTTTTTTGATGAAGACATCATTGTTTAATACTTGCAAGGAACACCAAGGACGTGTAAGCAAATACTGCTGCTCGAGCCTCTACGATCCTCTGTGATGTGATTTTTAGAAAATTCTTGAAGTATGAAAACTTTCTGGGGTACATAAGTAATGAGTGAACACAGGGAGGATATTCCTAGTCAGCTTAGCACTAGGGTTTCAACATACAGAATCCAGAAAGGTACTCACAAACATTAGCTGCTAAGAGGGCATATCGGGGCCGGGGAGATAGCTCAGTGGAGCAAGTGCTTGTCTGGCAAGCGCAAGTTCCTGAGTTTGATCCCTGAAACCACAAAAAAATAAAATAAAATTTTAAAATTGTAAAAAGAGGGCATATCCTATAGTATCAATCTCTTACTTAGTTCATTTTTGATTATTCATCATGAAATTGAATACAACTCAGTCAAATATGTGTCTGCTATAAGGGTTATGGACCAAAGACCAAGACCCTCAGTTACTACCTATGTGACTTTGAAACTTAGTCTCTTTTATCATTCTAATCTTTAAGATAAAAATAATTCATTCTTGCTTGTATTGTACCATTAAAGAGTCAACGGGGATAAGGGCTATTCCTTGAGCATCAGATGCTTTAAAATGTGACTGGGTGTTCTGAACTATAAAAAATCCATAAAATCAGGTATTGCCCCTGTGAGGCACAATGTGATGTTAAGCTCTCTGGTATCAAATTGGACAGACCTGAATTTAAGCCTAATTCTATCACTGACTGGTGTTGGAATCTTAGAGAAAATTATTCCACATTTCTGAGCTTCTCATTATTTATGAAATGAGGAAGAGTTATGCCAAGGATCAAGTCAGTATTGGATGTGTAGCTCATTGCTAGAGTCCCTGCCTGGCATTCATGAGGGTCTGAGTTCTACCCCACTAAAACATTAATGTGTAACCACATTAAAAAAAAATCAAAGGACAACATTAAGTATATTACAAACATCAAAAAGCACAGCACCTAAGTATATACACAGCACTCCATAATTTGCAGCATGAGAGTGATTGTTACATTATCTTCATCTTCTGGGTAAATTAATATTCTAGTGCCTTATTCACTTGGCCTAGGTGTCCCGTTCCTAGCATTTTCTACCATGACATAAACAGGGAATCTCACAGTGTGTTTCAATTGTTATTCAAATGTGTTCAAATAGCTCAGTGGACACAGGGACCGGGGTTTAATCCTGTGCATGCTGTGCTGGTCCTGCCCCTGGGACACACTGAGACATCAGTTGAGACTGGGCATTGTGGCCCAGGCCTATAATCCCAGAGCTGGAGAGGCTGAAAACAGGAGGATCACTAGGAGTCCAATCTGTGTAGTGAAACTCTGTAGACCCTGTACTAAATACAAAAATGAAAAACAAACAAACAAAAAACCTTCAAATATGCTCTAAATCCGGCCATTTCTTGCCATTCCGCTTGTCATTTTCTGGGTTAAAAGCACCACCATCTCTATCCTTGACTCAGCCTGGTCTCCTAGAGCCTCCTCCTTTGCCTCTTGCTTCCTATCTTGTCCTGTCCATTAGCCCATTCTCTTCAGAAAAGCTAGCGTGGTCTTTCCTAAACATAAGTCCCACCATTCTCTTGTCCACAATTCCACAATAGAGTCCTAGAGATAAATTCCTTATCATGGTGAATAGAAACTCCACACCATTTGGCCCAGGTGTTCTGTTACAACTGTATTTTCATATATTCTGGCCCTTGGACACTTTTCTAAAACCTTGTGTGCTCCTGATGTCTTTCTATCCCAAGGCCTTTCACATGCTACACTCATTGTTTGGTGCTCCATTCCTTGTATGAAAAATGGCCTTCTCATTAAGTTTTCTCAAAGATTGTCATTTTTAGAGAAGCTTCTTGTTTTGCTCTTCTTTTTCTCTTTCTGTCTCTCTCTCTCTGTCTCCCTCTCTCTCTCTTTCTCTCTCTCTCACACACACACACACAATTACTGTAATTTATTTATAATTGTATTTGTTTCCCTTCTCACCAAGACAGTGTAGGCTCCCTGAGATTAAGATTTTTGATCTCCATGCTTACCGTCATATTCCTTTGTGTTTCTCCATCCTGAAAGTACTCATACAGACTAGGATATCAATAAGCATATATTTTATTTGAACAAACAAGTGAAATCCACAGCTATGTCTACATGGCACAGCAAAATTATATTTTTCAAATTACTGCCCATGTCCTACTTGGATGACATTAAATAAGAAAACACAGTGAATCATTCCACAAATTTCAGTGGCCATCTACCCTTCAAGCCATGTTGTGCACAGAAGATGAGAGAAGAAAAGAAAAATAGAAAACTTTTCAAGCTGCCTGTTTTGTTTATCTATGCATTGTTAGTGCATACTTCAGCTGCTTCATAACCTGTATTTTTTTTTCAGAAAATGTGCCCAACATTCCTATGCAAGCCTTAAATACATTAAAAAAAAAAAAAGAAGAAGCAGCAGCTAGTTGTGGTGGCACATTCATGTAATCCCAGAACTTTGGAGATTTGGTTTTCATTTTTTTCTCAACTCCAGGGATCAAACACTAGACCTTGTGCTTGCCAGGCAGGCATGTAAGCCACTGAGCTATCTCCCCAACAATTCCAGAATTTTGGGAGTCTGGGCAAAAGGACAATGGGTTTAAGCGGGTGTGAGTGACCTAGTGAGACACTGTTTCAAAATTTTAAAAAAATTAATTAAAAATGCAAGAAACGGAAATGAATGTAAAAGCACTAGATTCAGTCTCCAGTCACACGTACACACGTGTGTGTGCACACACATACTACAAAATTTTCTCTCATTGAAGATTCTAGTGAAGTAGAATTTACTCTTGAGCTAGAAAAGAAAGTGTTTTGTCAAGCTACAAGATGGCAGTCAGAAAGGGGCATAGGAAGCCAGTGTTATGGTATGGTGGTAGTTACGGGTGAAGAGCAGGGGGTGACAAACTTTTAGGTTGCAGATAGTAAAAAGCGTTTTAACTTTTAAGTTTCTCTTATAATTTTTTACCTATGTCACTGGGATATAAAAACAGCCATAGACAATACTTAATAAACAGGAGTAGCTGTGTTACAATAAACTTTTGTGACCACGTGTGGTGGTGGTGGCTGGCCATTGCTCAGCCATAGACGGCTACACCTGGTCTGGGGCACAAGGTACAGTGTGTGATCATAGGTGTGAATGGAGTAGAAGTTAACATACAAAGGAATACAAGGGCAGCGCAGGTGAAGAAACTGAGAAGCTAGGATGTAGAAGGTAGGAAGCCAGAAAGATGATCAGCACGTATCTTAAAATCCAGTGGGACTTGATGGAGGAGCTGTTCTAGGAAACGCGATTAGAAAGGATCTGCTAACTTTGAGCAACAGAAGCAAATGACTTTAGTTCTTATCTAACAGCACAAAAGAAAGGTAAATGAGGTAATAAAATCTCATGATAACATGAGAGACAAAGGAAAGAGCAATAGTCTGAAAGAACTGGAGTGAGAAGGAATTCCAGAGAGAGTCCCCAGGATCAGATGCCTAATGACCCTCAACTTTGCAGATTCCATACACGCTATGACCTGGCATCCTTGCAAGCAGTAATCAGCCACTACCTTGAGTTTGTACCGGCAAGATCAGCTTTCCCGAACACTTTGAGCCATTTTTAGTGTGTCTTTATAATATAACAAAAATTTCAGTTTCGTGACTGACTTGTTGATAATATCTATACTATAATGGGCTACAAGATGGATCTTGGAGCACAAAAGATCAAGTTGATGATCACTGAAGTTGGAAAAGATGAGAACATGCAAGTAGATGTCTGAAAAATGGAGATTTGAGGACTTGAAAAGATAAGTCCTATAAAAGGGAACGGGGGGCTCTCAAAAACGACTAAAATGACACCAAAGAGAGATTAACCAGCAGGCAGAGAGCTGGCAAAGTGGGTTCATGAATTATACACTGCACCAGAAGTTCTAGCAAGAGAAAAGCATAAGATTAATTATTAACTAGCAGAGGAATAATGGGCTTGTACATTCTGCTTTTTCTCCGAAAAAGAAATAGGCCTGCTTCCTCCTCCTGCCCATTGTTTGTCTCTTTGTATTTATGGAGAGGGATGGACGTTCGTGAGCCAAATCCCTTTATAGCTGGGAATCGGTTCTTCCCACAGAGTCACCCTCGCACCAGCCTCTCAGCCTTCCTGACAGTGCTCAAGGGCAGGGCCTGGGACTCCTGCTGGTGACTGGTGCTGCACAAAAGGCCCATGGCATCTGGCCAACCAAGATGAGCAGTCCTCCTCTCCTTTATTTTATTTATCATCATTATCCTTACTGTCTTCATCTTCAGTCTGTACTGTAGAAATGACTACCTGGTTAGCACCCCCTAGTGTAATGTACGCACTTCTGCTCTTTGTGTTTTCAGAGTTTAAAATCTCAGAAAGACAAACTAAGGCCTTCTTTCAACTCTCAGCACCATTCCCAGAGCATCACTAGGAACTCCCTTAAATGTTTACTGGATTAATAGATAAAACCACAGGAAGGACACACAGAAAGTAAAACAGAAATGCCACACAAATTCAAGAAGGAACATTCATGTATTTGCTTTATATATTAGGAAGTTCATTTCAAAAAAAAAAAAAATGCTGGGCAAATGCAGAATTTTCATACGTCAAAACACAAGTAAACCAGGAGTGAAATATTGCGGAAAGGAGAAGATGATAAGATTTATTTCTGCATACATGTGAAGAATCGAAAGGTCTAGTGTTTAAATTTGTTTTCTATTATCTTTTTAAAAGGAGCTTTAATGTTTATGATCTTATTCTAGAAAACTCTGCAAAGCACAACAAAAGAGTAGGAAAGTTATAAGGACAATAATTCAAGCACTCTGAGCTCAGACTGTTAACATTCTTTCATATATTTTTATAATTTTTATTCCACACATATAATAGAGATTATTTAAACATAAACTCTCATAGTGTCTGTCTTCCAGTTTCAGCAATTTTCAATATGTGCCTAAATTTGTTTCTTTTGTACTCTCTTTTTATTTACCTCTCCCTTCTTGTAATATAATTTTGAAGCAACCGCCCTATCATATCTTGGTATACCAAATATCAAATATTCTAATTAGTACCCCTAAGAATGTCATGCATAGCTTACCATAGTCATATAACATGGCATGTACAAAATCACATACGTTACTGTCATCTATTTCTGATTTCAGAAAAAATAATTTAGTTACAATTTGTATTTATTTTTACATTAATTTTATTCAGAGAAGTAGCAATGAGACAGTTTCAAAACAAATTAGTACAACAGTTAAATAATTAATACTTTGCATATTATTGTCTTTGTAGTAGTTATTTATAGTACAAGATGCAGACATGATATCTTGTCTAAGCACTATTAGTTCAAAACTTTCTTCCCCTTGAACTAAAAGAAAGTAGCTGTATCTCCATGCTATTTTGTATATACAGATATATATTTTTGTTTTCACTACAAAATGGTCCTTCATTTATATCCCCCTTTTTGTTTACTTTTGTCAAAGATGGGTATCCCATTGCCATTCATATATTGTAGATGCATGAATTCAGCAAAGTAATCCAATATAGTCCATTATTCTATAATAGTAGTGGGTTATCTGCATGACTGGAAATGTCAGAAGTTGTTGACTTGAGCCTTTTACAGCTCAACATATATATTAATATGGCTTTGCTTTTTATACACCATTGTTATATTTTTCTGCTAGATGGTTAAGACCAAGATAAAGCAAAAACTATATAACAAAAAGTGTAAAAAGTTGATAAAGTTTCTTTTTGGAGGGGTGGGGGTGGCTCAGGCTGCCTTAAGGGCAGGTCTGGTAAGGCATGTGGAGCTGGGGATCGAACTGCGATATCCTGCACCTCACTCCTCACTGTATTTGCATAAGCAGGCGCTTAAACAACTGAGCTAACCAGCAGGCCCCCTAGTTGCATTTTTTAATAAAATTTCTTCCATGATTTTAATTTCTTTTCAGACTGTGGCCATCAACATTACTATTTCTCTAATGATATTCTGGGAAAAATAAAACCATTTCAGAGACCCAGTGCTTCATGCTTGTCTCTGTCTAAACAAAATTAACGAGCTAACACAGTAAGGACCTTGCACAAGTAGGAATTACTTGATTTGGTAAAATTAATATTGTCACAGATAGTTAACCATGCCAGGCGTGGTGACACACATCCATGAATCCTAACACTCTAGGAGGGTGAGGCCAGATGAACAAAAGCTCAAGACCCAGCCTGGGCAACTTAATGGTTTAGTGTGATCCTATCTCTAAATAAATATAAAAAGTGTTTGAATGCCACTCAGCATGAAGGCAGCCCTATATTTAATCTCTATTGCCCCCCAAAAACAAAGAAAACACTTTCTTTAGCATTGTGTACAAAACATTCCATGGTTTTTTGGCTGGTATCTGTCACCACGCATCAGCAAGTTTGTAACATTAATCCCACTTCAGTGAGGCTTGAAATGTTTCGGTATCTTACCTAAAATCACAAAGACAGTAAATGACTACTGGAGATTTTAGTATGTTCCTGTTTAACTCAGGAGCCCATGCTCTTAACTTCTGTACAAATTTCATGTAGTAAATGTAACTTTCTTGTAAAGGACCTAAAAATTTACAAAGAATCACAGAATCCTAGATCTCATCAATTGACTGTGACTGTCATGATACTCACTAGTACAGACCTCAACTTAATCTGAAATTTTTCAAAAATATTCTAATTAGAATGAACTTGGATGAACACTCAACTGCCAGGTAGTCCAATTCTCTTCAGAGTCTACGTATTTTATTCCTTAAAGGCATCTACAAAATGAACCATATTATACTACAGCAATCTCAAAAAAGCCCAGCCTAAGTCTTGTTTATATTAATAATTTTTCTTTTGATGAATAATCAATATTAATTTTAATGCTATCTGTGAAATTATTTCAGGGAGAATGTTCTAAATTCCGGTCTTCTGTTTTTCTCACAGCCTCTGTGATAGTGTACAGATTTGTCCCACACACCATCAGAGGGACGTCTATGAATTTTTTGACACTCTTCAATGGATTTGGTTGTTACACAGGGGCGCTGCTGGTGAAGTTGGTTTATCTCATCTCGGAAGGTAAAAATAGCTTCAGCACATGCTTATATACATTGATTACATGACTAGGGAACTGGGAAACAAAACCTTAAGAGGGAGGCTTCGCCAGGTTAGTCTCTTTTTTTTTTTAATTGATCCACTTTTGCAATTAAGATAGAATTTAGATAGGAAATAGACTCTTGCTGTATTCATTAATTTCTGGGAATTGTTTTCCTTTTGATAGGAGGAGGTAATTACAGAATGTCACTTCTCATGAGACCCTGTCTGCTGTCTTTCTTTACTGTGCTTTAAAATAAACCAGTTGTCTCATATTCGTATTAGGTCTTCTATGAGGCCATATTCAAAAGCTCTTAATAGAACAGATAGTCCATAGAAACATTCATACTGGTCTTAAGTGGGAGAATAAGGAGCCAGTATGAGGTGTTTTGTTCAGGAATTGTCAGAAATCTTGTCTACACTACCAAAGAGAGCTCATGAATTGAACAAATGATCTTGAAACATTTTCCCAGTAGAGATTTTGGACAAAGAAAAAAAAATCTAAAAATTTTTGATACAGATGCTAAAAGTACTACATTTAATTTACATGTGTGGGTGAAAAAAAAGTCAAACAAGATGATCATAATGGTTAGCAGACACAGCAAAATGCTTTGGGCTGCATTTACATCCATAGAATATTTTACTTTGTTCTAAAATGTTGCTATAGCTTCAATTTCATTTTAGTTTACATTTACTTATTTTATGAAAAATATTCCAAACTCATTCTCTACTTTCAAAAGTACTTATGGTATGTACACAAAATACTGTACAGACAGTGTTGGTTTGTGTTCTCTTATAACAACCATGTTTAATTTGCCAGGCTTAATGCCACACACATATAATCCCACCTCCTTAGGAGACTGAGACATGAAGATCAGAGGCACAAGACCAGCCTAGGCAAATTAGCAAGATGCTATTCCAAAATATAAAAGGGGTGAATAGTAGCAATACTCAGGGTTCAAATCCAAGTGCTACCAAAAGAAAGAAAATCCACCTGTTTTCAAAAATTAAAGAAAACAAACCCTATGAATGAGAAACCTATTCTAACATGTACCATACTGAGAAGAGATGCTTTTGTAAGAAAGAATAAACATTCCTAACTCCTTCCATAATTTTCAGGGTTTCAAGCAAACAAAAATAATAATTAAGAGTGATGAATACAATAAAGTTCTAGGGAAGGAAAGGTGCCAATCTTGGATGGTGGATAACAAGGCCAAGCCCCATCCTAATCTTAGCTATCTAAGAAAGCAAAGCAAAAGGATGTATCGAATACTTGCCATATGCCAAATCCTGTGCTACACAGATCTGTGTGAAGTATGATTGAAATTCTCAAATTACTCAAATCCATAACTGTGTAAATTGCACACAGTCATTGACTTCTGGGTATAGGATCCTTTGTGTATAAGCAGAAGAGTACATTAAGGTTTTATGAAATAGAACTGGCCAGATAGCTCAGCAGACTAAAGCGCCTGCTTTGGCAGAATGCAGTGGCCAGGGTTTGATCCCCTGTATGCCATGCTGGCTCTGCCCCTGGGACATGCTGAGACAGTGCTTGAGACTGGGTGTGGTGATGTGCACCTGTAATCCCAGCACTTGGGAGGCTGAAAACAGGAGAATCACTACAAGTCCAGTCTACATAGTGAGACCCTGTAGACCCCGTAGACCCTATAATAAATTTTAAAAAAAGATTTTATGAAATAACTTGGAAAGTTATTGGAAATAACTTGGAAAGATAGTCACCTACCTATCTAAAAACTTTCAGCTGTTGAATGCTGCTCTTCCCATTTTTTGATGGAGACATTCCTGAAATTTTGCCTCAAAAATATCTACAATCAAATCACATTTGACATATTCTACAGGATCTATACACATGCATACCCATGTTTATAGCAGCAAAATTCACAGTAGCTGAATCTTGGTAGTGGCCTAAATTTCCCTCAACAGATGAACAGAGAAAGGAAATACACATACAATGGAGTACTACTCTACCATGAAAAGATAAATTTTCCATGTACAGGAAAAGGGATGCACCTTGAGACCATAAGATTAAGTGAAATAGGGCCGGGGAGATGGCTCAGTGGAATAAGTGCTTCCCTGGCAAGTGCAAGGGCCTGAGTTCAATCCCCGGTTCTGCCAAAAAAAAAAAAAAAAAGATTAAGTGAAATAAGTCAGATGCACAAGATTAAACATTGTGTGGTTTCTCTTGCATGAGAAACCCAAATTATAGACAAAGAGAAAAAGAAAGTATAGATAATAGGAGGATAGATCTTTGTCAAATGGGACCGGGATCAAGAGGTGGGGAGCATGACCAAGGAATTAAGTTGTTTTATGGCCACATACCAACTCCACGTAAGAAATGTAAACATTATGTCCTTCAAACATGTACTAATAAAAGAATAAAAAATATATTCCCACTAGCTTAGCTATTTTATACAAACCCTAATTTTTATATACATGCTTAAGCAGCTTAGCCAGAGTTAGAGCAAACTTTGTAGGTTAAGTTCTCTCCCAAACTGTCCTTACTTGATCCAATAGCTGAGTAGAAATGTGAGTCTGTGACAGACTCCCTCAGGTTTGATGACTGGTTAGCATAATTTAGAGTTCAGGACAGCCAGTGCCTGCAATGATCAGCAAAGCAATACGCACTAGAATGAAACGCAGAGAGAGCACTGGGAGGGCTCCAAACCTGAAGCTACTTTCCTTTCTAGGGACCCAGTGCCAGCCTTTCACATGGGTGTGTGACAACAGGAAAGATACCATCAACCTCAAAAGCACTGAGCTTCAGTGTGCACTGTTCTTGGTGCCTGGCTGATTAGTTGTTTGGCTGGTGGTTTGGGTACTATCGATGGAGACAGTGTTTTACTAGCTTCCCGAGACAGGACTGTAATTTGTGATCCTCCTGCCTCCCTCTCCAAAATGCTAAGATTGCAGGCATGTGTCACTGTGCCTGGATATTGTGCAGAGATTTTGTTGAGGCTTTACTAACTAGCACAACTGATTGCCCCACTGCCTGTGTGGTTGAATTCCATCTCTAGCCTCTGTCTCCTCCCCAGAAGTTGAGCAGCTAATTCACTGTTAAAGTAAATTAATGGGGGGACAGTCTTAGAGATTCAACAAAAATAACAAGAACACTACAACCATGTAAGAAATTCAAAAGACTGAGGGGTTACCTCCCAGAAACTGGGTCAGGCAAATTCTTTATTATATACAAGCATTCTTGTCAACATACATCATTGGAAACCTGAATTTTTACTGAGGATAGTGTAGTATAGTATAACAGCATAGTATGAGTTTTTGCATGCATTATTGTATTTACCATAAAATCTTCATAAAGATAATTGTTATTCTTGTTTTTAAGTGCAATAATTAAGACCAAAAAAATGAAGTGTTCCAGTTATCAAAGCTGGTGTCTAACAGATTTAACCTCTTCTCATGCTGAAACTCAAAATTGATGGCAACATAAGCAAATATTATAAGTGCCCCAGTGTAAAACATTTTTTGAAAACATTTGTTATTTCTGCAATATGTCATTGGATGGACATCTATATGTGGGATAATATTGATTGGATTCTAAATATAGCATAAAGATGGGGAAACAAAAATTTATATAACATTGGCAGAGTTTGATATCTGTAAAGGAAAGTTCACCAGATACACACCGTGAGGATATTTTAGAAGCATAAGATGTGTGACGTTGGACTTCCTGAATGTGTGCTCAAGTGATGCCATTTAAATTGTTATTACCAGGCCAGCCAAATAGTGCAGTGGATTAAGGCACCTGCAAGCAGGCTCAGGAGTCAGGGGTTTGATCCCCGGGCCTGCCGTGCTGGCCCCGACCCCTGGGCACGCTGAGATGGCAACTGAGACTGGGTGTGGTAGCACGCACCTATAATCCCAGCTCTTGGGAGGCTATAAACAGGCGGATCACTACAAGTCTGATCTAGTAGTAAGACCCTGAACACCCTGTAAACGCTTCCCTAAAATACAGAAAGAAATAAATAATAAATTGTTGGGGGCCTGCCCCTTAGCTCAGTTCTTTAAGTGGCTGCTTCAACAAAGCAGTCAGGCTCAGGTTGCTGTGGTTTGATCCCAACTCAAGCCAGCCAAACCTGCCCTGAAGGCATTCAGAGCAAAAAATAAATAATAATAATAATAATAATAATAATAAATTTTTACTATCTAATTTAATTGGCATTTTATGGCTTTTTCTTATTCATTATAATACTATTCTACCAAATCGTATCCAAAGGAACTATTATCTTACACTTGTGTACTGCTTTTGAGTTTATCTATTCTAACTTTGTAACCCAAAACAGAAATTGGCTGTCATCTTCCTGGAGTCTGGAAAATTTCTCTACTTTGACATAGAGCCTTAACCCATCTGTTAATAATTAAATCCCACAGAGTAAGGCTAATTTTTATCACATAGAAATTCTACAAACTTTTGCTAAGAATTCATACAAATAATGTGTATTCTTCATAGCTAAAAGAAAAGACTCTGGAGTCAAACCACCTCAATCTGAATCCCAATAGTCTAACTTTGTATTCTCAGGTTCTATATCAGTAATGATCCCAAATAATTCATCTCTTGCTGGGAGAATTAAGTAATTAACGCCTCTATTAAGGACCCAATGGGGATTACAATTATGATTCTCTTTGGTCTTATTGACAAGCCATGCCATTGTTTCACATTGTATGGTTCCCTGGTATTTCACTATTTCAGCTCTTCCACCCATTAAACAAACAACTTGTCAATATCTTTATTAAAATGTGGTTTCCAAAATTGAACTCACTCTCGAGATTGCTAGAAACAGGATAAATATGTTACTTTTATTAGTTTGGAGCCTATCTCTTTTTCTCTCCCCAAATGCCAACAGAGATTGTATTGACTTTTCAGTAGTTGCATTATGCTTATGGTCAATTAAAACTTGAAACTTTTTATTATTATTTGCAGCTGCTCACAGTTCTGCTCTAATCATCACAAT